GAAATATGTTACAGGCCGGAAGGCAATATGTTATGGGCCGGAAGGCAAAATATTATGGGCCGGAAGGCGATTATCTCATGGGCCGGAAGGCGTTGTACTGTGGACCGTAAGGTTCGGGCCTGGAAAGGCGTATATGTGTAGTGGTATACTGGGGAACTCACTAAGCATTTATGCTTACAAGTTGTTATGTATGTGTTTCAGGTACTAGCGAGGACCGTGGGAAGGCGCCGGCATGATGCATACACACTGCTGCTATTGAGATCTTGGGGATTTTATATATGTATTTGATATGAAACATGAAATAAATATTATTGGTTGAATGAAATACTTTATTTTAAATGAAAATTTTATTTGAAAATTTGCGTTGTTACAATTGGTATCAGAGCCTTGGTTTGAGGGATTCGGGTGTACCTTCGGGTGTAACTGAACTCAAACCGAGGATTTGAGGAAAAATCTTTTAAAAATAATAAATACATAAACTTTTATAAATGGTAAAGTGGTAAACAAGAAAGAAGCAGTGTGTACGATCAGCCAGCGCCCGAACGGTAAAGATCCCCAGAATACCTTACAATGTTATGTTATGCACTGAATTATGAATTGTTATGCATGCTAGAAGACTAGGTATACATGATAGGACTAGAATGGCCTGTTTTGTGATGCCTTAGTCTAGGAAGATTGCTTATATGAGATATTCGGTAGCGTGCAGGTAGGTAGTGCATATTAGAAGTAGAGTACTCACTATTCGGGGTTCGGGGAGGAAGATTTGGGACGAATGCTGATACGGTGTGGTCGGTAGTATTGGGCCCGTACTACCGAAGACACCGGGTCGGTGGGCGACCCAAGTAAGAATCCCTGGATGTCGGAGACTGAGTAGGGTTGCGTTATCGAGTGCAACAGTACTTGATGGAGTCTCTGATAATCTTATGTTATATTTCAGAGACATTATGGTTACGACACGCCATGGAGCGAGTTCGAGCAGTATGAGTGACGAGGAGATTCGTCAGATGATTCAGAGGAGGTAGCTGCGGCGGTTCGGGCTGAGATCCCGGAGATGTTTGGGTCCATTAAGACCACCCTGATGGAGGAGTTTGAGGAGCGGTACGCCGCACTGACTGAAGCTGCAGTCGCTGCCGCTACCGCAGCTGTGGCCGCTGCTAGGCCGCAAGGGGGTGATTCGTTGCTATTCCGGGAATTCAGCAACACGAAACCCCCTGAGTTCGATGGGACGCAGGATCCGATTGCGGCGATGAGGTGGATCGCCGACATTGAGGGGTGCTTCTATACTTGCTCATGCCCGGAGCACCTGAGGGTACGGTTCGCCTTGAACCAGCTCCGTCTGGGAGCGAAGGATTGGTGGAAGTTCGTAACGGCGAACTTCACTCTGGCGGAGATTTCAGCGGTGACATGGGAGAGGTTTACTGAGATGTTCAGGGATGAGTACGTTCCCCCAGTGGAGAGGGAACGATTGATTCAGGAGTTCTTGACCCTTAAGCAGGGTACTGATTCCGTTGCGGTGGTCACACGGAAGTTTCACGAGAGGGCGATGTTCTGCCCCGAGCTGGTGTCTACAGAGCAGTCACGGATGAGCCGGTACTTGGGCGTGTTGAGGAGGGATATCCGGGAGTTTGTGTCAAACTCCACCTATCGTACTTTTACTGAGCTTCAGGCGAACGCCAGGAAGCGCGAGATCGAGTTAGAGACCCAGGCCAGGGAGGAGGCCGAGTCTCGGCGGGCGGACCGGCGACCGGCTCAGTTTCAGCCGGCAGCCAAGCGGACCAAGTCCGCTGATTCGAGGATGGGAGGTTCGAAGGGCCGCACTTGCGGAAAGTGCGGCAAGAGTCATGAGGGGCGTGTCGAGCGGGGGGTTGCTACAAGTGTGGCAAGGAAGGACACATTGCCAGGGATTGCCCTAAGGGGTTTATGGTTTGCTTTCATTGCAACCAGACAGGCCATCGGAAGGCCGAGTGCCCGCAGCTTCGTCAGGGATCTACACCTACTACCAGGACTACCGAGACACGACCGGCGAAGGTCGAGGCCCCGAGGGCTCGCGGGAGAGCCTTTCAGCTGACTGCGGAGGAGGTCCGCGCTGCACCCGATGTTGTGGCAGGTATACTGTAATTCGCGTATTTATTTAAAGTTGAAATGTTATGCTTATGTTAATATATGTGTAGGTACTTTTCTTGTGAACTCTATGCCTGCTCTTGTGTTATTTGATTCGGGTGCGAGTAGATCCTTTGTATCTTTAGCTTTTAGTCAGCATATCAGCATTAGTCGTGAGTCGTTAAGTCGGCCTCTGAGCGTTTCTATAGCGGCCGAGAGGGTGGTTTGTGCTACGGAGGTTCTTCGGGGATGCGTACTAGAGATTTTTGGGTTGCGTTTCCGATTGACCTAATTCCTATTGCGATGGGTGATGTCTGTGTCATCGTGGGCATGGACTGGTTGAGCCGATTCAGCGCCGTCATCGACTGTGAGCGCCAGCTGGTGACTATACGAGACCCTAGTGGGGGAGTTCTTACGGTGTACGGCGAGGGTACCCGTTCGGGATCAGCTTTTTGTTCGGCCGCTAGGGCGAGGCAATGCCTACAGCAGGGATGTAGAGGTTTTGTGGCGTATGTGATGGATACGCGGGAGGCTTCCGAGAGACCGAGGACAGTGGAGGAGGTTCCAGTGGTGCGCGAGTTTTCAGATGTTTTTCCTGAGGAGTTGCCGGGAATACCTCCTGCGAGGCAAGTAGAGTTTGGTATCGATCTGATTCCGGGGGCTGCGCCTATTGCGAAGGTGCCTTATCGTCTTGCACCTCCAGAGATGCAAGAGTTGTCCTCGCAACTCCAGGAGTTGCTGGGGAAGGGATTTATTCGGCCGAGTAGCTCGCCGTGGGAGCACCGATTCTATTCGTCAAGAAGAAGGATGGTTCACACCGGATGTGTATTGATTACCGGAGTTGAACAAGGTGACGGTCAAGAACCGCTATCCGTTACCGAGGATCGATGATCTATTCGATCAGTTGCAAGGGGCATCTTGGTTTTCCAAGATCGATCTGAGATCAGGGTACCATCAGGTAAGAGTGCGGGATGAGGACGTCCAGAAGACAGCATTCAGGACGCGGTATGGGCATTACGAGTTCGTGGTGATGCCTTTCGGGCTCACCAATGCCCCGGCAGTGTTCATGGACCTCATGAACAGGGTATGCAGGCCGATGCTGGATCGGTCTGTGATTGTATTTATCGACGACATCCTAGTATATTCGCGAACTAGAGAGCAGCATGAGGGACATTTGAGGGAGGTCCTTGAGGTACTGAGGTCGGAGAAGCTATATGCAAAATTCTCCAAATGTGACTTCTGGTTGCGGGAGGTCCAATTTCTTGGACATGTTGTTAATCAGGCAGGGATATTGGTCGATCCGGCCAAGGTGGAAGCAGTGATGAGTTGGGAGGCACCGAAGTCACCTTCCGAGATCAGGAGTTTCCTTGGGTTGGCGGGGTACTATCGGAGGTTTATTAGGGACTTCTCCAAGATCGCGGTACCGCTCACCAGATTGACCCGGAAGGGTGTTACATTCTCATGGGGACCCGAGCAGCAGACTTCCTTCGAGACACTTCGTCAGAGACTGTGCGAAGCCCCGGTATTAGCTCTCCGGAAGGGATGGAGGATTTTGTCGTATATTGCGACGCGTCGATTTCGGGACTGGGTGCAGTGTTGATGCAGAGGGGCCATGTGATAGCTTATGCATCGAGGCAGCTAAAGCCTCACGAGGCGAGTATCCCACGCATGACTTAGAGGGGGCAGTAGTGTTCGCTCTCAAAATTTGGCGTCACTACCTGTACGGGGTTCGTTGTACTATATACACGGACCATAAGAGTTTGAAGTATTTGATGGATCAACCCAACCTAAATATGCGTCAGAGGAGATGGTTGGACGTGGTTAAGGATTATGACTGTGAGATCCTATACCACCCAGGCAAGGCTAATGTGGTAGCCGATGCATTGAGTCGTAGGGCGGAGAGCACTCCATTGCGAGACGTATGTCTGAGACTGACGGTGATGACTCCGGTATTAGATGCTATTCGTGGGGCACAGGCCGAGGTTGTGAGATCCGAATGCAGAAGAAAGAGCGGGTCGCTGGGTTATTTCGGAGTTCGTTAAGGATGGACGAGGACTTCTGACGTTTCAGGGTCGGATTTGGGTACCATTCGTGGGCGGTACGCGTGCTACTTTGATGGAGGAGGCTCATAGATCGAAATTCTCGATCCATCCCGGTGCTACGAAGATGTATTTGGACTTGAGAAAGGAATATTGGTGGCCTTGCATGAAGAGAGACGTCGCTTGGTTCGTTGAGAGGTGTTTGACCTGCCGTAGGGTTAAGGCCGAGCACCAGAGACCGCATGGTAAGTTGCAGCCCTTGGAGATTCCTGAGTGGAAGTGGGAACAGATTACGATGGATTTCATCACCAAATTGCCGAGAACTGCCAGAGGAGTCGATGCAATTTGGGTGATTGTGGATAGGTTGACGAAGAGTGCACACTTCCTTGCCATTAGCGAGAGTTCATCAGCGGAGAAGTTGGCGGAGTTATACGTGAGAGAGTAGTATCTCGGCATGGAGTGCCGATCTCGATTGTTTCAGACCGTGATGTACGCTTCACTTCCAGGTTCTGGAAGAAATTCCATGAGGAGCTGGGTACTAAACTGCATTTTAGTACCGCATACCATCCCCAGACAGACGGTCAGAGCGAGCGGACGATTCAGACATTGGAAGACATGCTTAGAGCGTGTGTGTTAGACTTCGGGGGTAGCTGGGATGCCATTTACCCTTGGCTGAGTTTTCCTACAACAACAGCCATCATTCGAGCATTGGTATGCCACCTTTTGAGTTGTTGTATGGTAGGAGGTGTCGGACT